ATTTTTATATATGGCCGATCGGTTATGGAGGAAGAAAGAAAAGAAATGGGCTTAGGTTTTCCAAGTGTAACCGAAAACACCTTAGGCCCATTAAGGGTTTTCGGTTTGCATAAGTTATTGGGCTCGGTTTGGGCCCAAGAATAGTTTCGGTCCAATACTAGGCCAAAAGAAATGTATTAGGCCCAATAAGGATTTTTGGTTTAGGTGAGAGAGGCCACTACAGATCTTTGGCCCAATGAGACTAAGTAGAAGAGTTTTCGGCCCAAAATTATACCTAATAGAGGTATTTGGCCCCTTATGGTCTAAAAGAGATGTCCACGGCCCAATAAGGGTCTTATGGCCCAAAAACAGTGTTCAGTAGAGATTTTTCGGCCCAACTATGGCCCAAATATGGGTTCTCAGCCCATATAAAGATTAACTAGAGCTTTTGGCCCAAAAAAGGGCCCAATAAGAAGGTCTAGGTCCATTAGGAGGTTTGGACCGAGAAGGCTTGGGTTAAGGCCCAAAGTTGAGTGAACATAGCTTATTGGGTTAGATTTTGGGCTTACACGAGGAAGTTTCGACTTGGAACACAATTTTGGATGTATAAACTTGTATAGTATTCTATACCAAAAGTAGGGTTACAAGATTACACAAAGAAATTATCTTGTACAATGATAGAAATCCTAGCCCTAATTTGCTAGTTGTGACATGATCTCCCTGACACGATCCTCTGTCAATGTTGGCCCGCCCTGACTGCCAGCTCCTGATCCTGACCCGAATCCGGTCTCAAATTGCCTCGTAACCACCATACTGAAAACACACCAGGAAGATATCAGATAATCCGCATAAATAACGGGGAACTAACTCCCAACTAAACCCTAAGGGTTGTGACTTCCTTGCTACGTGTATGGGTCCTGTTCTTTCAGTAGTACGGGCCCATACTACCTTCCACACATACTCATTTTTGTCTCAAGGATCATCACCACACCTTAACCGTTTACATGCGCAGAGGCGAACGCTAAATCCTCACTCCTAGAGGAAGGCTAAATATCTCACAACTGGCTGACAGACCCCGTACAACTCATCAATGAAACTTCCACCAACCCCGCAGCACTCGTGTATGCTAGTCATACATAACGCTGGACCCTATAGACATTCGAATATCTAATCCTACCCTAAGGCCTTCATAAAACAAGAACAGGAAATAAGGCCAAACCAAACATTCCCAGGCTATAAGATCTTAATTATGTACAACTATGGTGCATACACCAAGAAACTACAGTAATGATGTCAATTTCATATAAGGAAAACTCTAGGCTATCAGGCATCATATAATCATGAAATTCTATCATGCAATTCCTGAAGATCCCTAGCCTATCATTAGCATGTTGTTCTAACATATCATAGTATCAAATATCTGTATGGTATTTTGGGGTCTACTTACTGGCTCCGACTGATCTTACACTCTGCATGCTCCTTTAGTATTTTGAAAACCATTTAAAATCATTTAAAAACCCTTTCCTTGGTTTGAGACTGGATTCACACGAGTGTTCCTCCAATTCAATCAAACCAAGGCTCTAATACTAACTTGTAACATCCATAAATTTCACAAAAAAATTTATAAACTTTTTCAAACATCCAAAAATCATTATTTATTACAAAATGTTTCCAAAATAGTTTCATATCAGAATATCCCAGAAATCAAGATCATAAAATGTGAGGAGGTGCATGATCACGTCTTCGCCTTCCCGCAATCATCCGAAGTACCTGAGACAAAATCCAAAACTGTAAGCCCGAAGCTTAGTGAGTTCCCCCAAAATACCGATACATAACAAATAGCACACATATTAACAACATGTAATGGATCCACAACTTTGCAGACTGGATTACCCCCGAGCCCACAGTATGAGTCTGGTTTGCCTTTCAGGCCCACAGCTCACATCTGGCTTGCTCCCGAGCCCACATCATAAGTCTGACTTGCTCTCGAGCCCACAACTTATGATTGGCTTGCCCCTTCAGTCCTAAGACTGGAATCTAAATCCTCGACCGTCAGTGCGAGTCTGACATGCTCCCATGGCCCTCAGCTCGCATCTGTAATGCTTAGAAGTCCTCGGTATGAGTCCGACATGCTCTCCCTGGCCCTCAAATCATATCTGGCATACTCCAGGGTTTGTTGGTTACCGCACGGAGCAGTACAACCTCAACCCTACCCACACAACATAACACAACATGTCGACATGTAACAACTAAATGCGCATACAGATAATCAGACATTATCACAGGTAGTCCTATATACCTACCAGACTAGCATAACAAACTAGCATGCATAACTAACTCATACTCGACATATCAACAACTACTAGGATATCAGATCCAATGGGCCGGCCTTGGTGCCTTCGACCCCTAAGTATAGTGAGGACAACTCACCTCACAATGTCAAACTGAACTGAAAAGACCAAACTCCCGAAACACGGCTCCAAACTTAAACACCTACAACCACCAATGAACCAATTCCATCAAGTCCCAAATTACCAAAATACCCTCAGAAGTCAAACTGGGTCAACCCTTGGTCAAAGTCAAAGTCAACGATCAAGGTCAACAGTCCATGTTGACCCAACTCGTCAAGTTCATCTACTGACTCGTCGAGTTCCTTTAGAACTAAAAAAACCGAAAACTCGAGTCAACTCGCCGAGTTACCAAACAACTCGTCGAGTCCATGCAGTGTCCAAAAGCATGGGAAAACCCTAACCAAATCGTCGAGTTGGCTATGCAACTCGTCGAGTTCCTTCAACCCTTTTTCTCATTCATACGCTTTTGAGCGAAACCAAGGGTCCAAACTGTAGATCTAGCCTCCTAGGGTGTAGTTACCACGTAAAGTTGCCAACTTTACGTGCATGCAATGCTTCATGAGGTTAAAATGCTAAAACCAAGCTTGATAATAGTTTTAGGGCATGGAGAAGGATCAAAGCTTGATAAAGTCGATAACTTTATGACTATAGGGACCTAAAGGAGTCCAGATCCGAACTCCTCACTCCAAAACATGCTCAATACCAGAAATGCCTCAAGAATAAGCTAGAAATGACCCTAAACTCATGAATGGAGAGATCTAACAAGAAAATGATCAAGGTAATGACTTTTTACCTTCAAATGAATGCCAAAACGAAGTAGATGCTGGATCTACAAGCTCATTCTCGTTCCAAGCTTCTCAATCTTCAAGTCTCTTCAAGAAATGCACCAAACACACACCCTTTAGCGTCATACAAACTCAAAATAGGAAGTTAGCTCGATTACGGTTTGTTTCTGGACGTGAAGGTGGTAAGGGAGGCTGGAGGGAGGACTTAAGGTCCTTTAAATAGGGTGCAAACCCTAAAAATTAGGGTTTTCATGCACAACCTCTACTCGTCGAGTTGGGGTCCTCCAACTCGTCGAGTAGGTTCCATAAACCACGCGGCCTGATGAGCTTCTACACGACGAGTTGGGGCAACCAACTCGTCGAGTAGGTCCAAAAATTATGAATATAAAAGCTTTAAATTTATACTTGGGAGTCGGGATGTTACATAAAAAATGAAGCTGCACAGAAAATAGCATATAATGCATTCGTATAAAAAGAAAAAAATTGATTTATCGTTGTACATTTATATAAATGGTCGACGTTTGCAGGTGATGAAATCATTTCTATGAGAACGAAAATTCATGTGATTTCGAGTTACAATCATGATATGCTAAAGACAGTCTTTGTTTTGTAATCGAATAGATTGTTTAAAATTTTATTTACCTACTTATTTTTTTTAATTATGTTTGGATTTGTTATTCAATTTTTTGTAAGAATTAAGGCAAAAAATGGCATGTTATTTTCAAATTTTGGGAAAAACAACATGCTACTTTCATTTTCAAGGCAAAAATAGCATGCTATTTTCATTTCGTAATATTATCGGTAAAGAATAAAGAGCATGTTGCTATTTCCCACATTTTTTCCTAAGTTTGTTGACAAAGGAACAAGTGGATACATAGAAACCAATTGTGGATGTTGTTCACGTCAAAAGGTAAACTTTCAAAGTTTTCTCAAATCAAAACTATCATAACAATATATTTTAAAAAACTTTTTCAATTATAATAATGTACTTAAAAAATAGCAATGTACATTCATTTTTTATAGCATACTACAACATATTTGACTATTATGCGTTTGTAAATGGGAGAATTGTAGAGGATAACAATGCAATTCAGATAATATATTATAATTTCACACAAAAGCAACACCTTCCAACCCCGCAACACAGAAGAATCCCTTATAGTTAACTAATAAAGATAGTCAATACAAAGTAACCTTACGGAAGAAAACAACACATTTTAAGCTATAATTAATTGTTGGTATCATCTGAATTGATTAATATAAAACAAAAACAATGTAATTGATACTATTAACACATGTGGTACCGAAAACAAAATACTTTCTCTATTTTACCAATCAACGTGACATATTTTTTTAGCCAACTAAGGTATAAGAGAATTACTATGTGTAACTTTTCCATAAAATAATATAAAATTATAACTTTTTATATTAAATGGTTGAAAGACAATATATTACATTATTTATTAAAAAACATGAAAGCATCTTTTTATTTGGAGTCAATCGTTAATTTATTATATAAATATTCATTTATACTTTATATGCTGTTTTTTTGTTCAAGTATATTACAATATTGTTTTAATCAAATTTGAACATTAAATAAATCAAGGGTTCAGGTCGAAATAAATAAATACTTTCAGGGCTTCAACAACAATACCCTAAACTCCAGGTACCCCATTTGCAGTTAATGAAAAATTGGATGATGAGGCAAACCCAATGAGGCAACAGCACGTAGGGCACAACACGAGATCCATCCTTATTGGCTACAACACCCATACCTGAGTTCTGATTGGTCCACGTCATCATCGATGACATGCAATAGAGTGTCTTCGCGAGAGACCCGAACAAAATCGACGCGCTTTAATGTAGGCGCTTGTACATCCTGCGAGATTTCATGTAATATAAATTCCCAATCGCACAAATCTGAGTTCTCAGAAAAGAAAACCCTTTCCCTATTTCAAAGCTCAAAACCCTTTAATTACACCGGATATAATAAGAGCATTCATCTATAGAGCAGTGAGGTGAAGCATGGGTCGCTCCGGCATCGTGCTAGCGATCGTCTTAATCGGTAAAGTTTTCTGATATTGATTTTTGTTACAGTTGCTACTGTTTTTGGGTTTTTTGATTCTTTTGGTATGAATCTAGGAAGGATTGTACGAATGTAGATTTAGCCTTGATATGCGTAAATGCTTGTTTGTGAATTGGTTTTGCTGTTTCAATGCTGTTTGGAGTCGGTTTTGTTTGAGATCTGACGAAACTGTGATGGTTTCATTTCGAATTTGTTTGAATTTCAGCACTTACTATGTTTACATTTGTTAATTAGTCTCTTTCTGTACATTTATTAATCAGTGTTGTTCTGTGTTTCCTTTTGATTTTATGAAGAACAAACTTTATGTGATCTTAAATAAAGTTATGAAATCTCCATATGGAGATTAGCGATGGACAGTTCCTTAAGTAGTGGTAATTTGTTCGGTTTTTCTAGTTTGATTTTGTACACTGATGGATGAGGTGTCTATGATTCTATGGGATACACACATGCTAACAACGTGTCACATTGAATAATCAAATCTGTGTCCTATTAATGTGCAATTGATTTTGATCTGTTATTATAATCAGACAGCATATTGACAACACCTAAACCATTTTCTTAACTGCTTGTTCTGATAGTTTTATCTTTCATGGAAGATGTGTCCTTTTTATGTACTAACCTTAATGTATTACAGGTTGCCTATCTGCAATTTCCATTGCAAAAGAAGAAGCCAACAAGTTAGGAACTGTTATTGGGATCGATCTTGGAACTACCTACTCGTGTGTTGGTGTTTACAAGAATGGCCATGTCGAAATCATAGCCAATGACCAAGGAAACCGTATCACTCCATCATGGGTGGCTTTTACAGACTCTGAGAGGCTGATCGGTGAAGCAGCAAAGAATCAGGCACCTATAAACGCAGAGAGAACCATCTTTGATGTCAAGAGACTCATCGGGAGAAAGTATGAACTTTTCCAATCTGCTTGTTGTTTAGATATCAGAAATCATGTTTCTTCCCAATGTTGAGCAATTTATGTTTGTGTGACAGGTTTGAGGACAAAGAAGTCCAGAGGGATATGAAACTCGTCCCCTACAAACTCGTGAACAAAGATGGAAAGCCGTACATCCAAGTTAAACTTTCCGGTGGGGAAACAAAAGTTTTCAGTCCTGAAGAGATCAGCGCCATGATTCTAACCAAAATGAAGGAGACAGCCGAAGCATTCTTGGGAAAGAAGATCAAGGACGCAGTTGTTACAGTTCCAGGTTAGTAAAACAACAGAATTTACTTTTGTACCCTTGAAGAACGATGTCCTTCAAACTGTTTCTTTACTTCTCCGATTCTTCCTTCCTACAGCATACTTCAACGACGCCCAAAGACAGGCAACAAAGGACGCCGGTGTGATTGCTGGTTTGAACGTTGCCAGAATCATCAACGAACCCACAGCTGCTGCCATCGCATATGGTCTTGACAAGAAAGGAGGAGAAAAGAACATTCTTGTATTCGACCTTGGTGGTGGAACCTTCGATGTCAGTATCTTAACCATCGACAATGGCGTTTTTGAGGTTCTTTCAACAAACGGTGACACCCATCTTGGAGGCGAAGACTTTGACCAAAGGATCATGGAGTACTTCATCAAACTAATCAAGAAGAAGCACGGAAAAGACATCAGCAAAGACAACAGAGCTCTTGGAAAGCTGAGAAGAGAAGCCGAGCGAGCCAAAAGAGCCTTGAGTAGCCAACATCAAGTCCGAGTCGAGATTGAATCGCTTTTTGACGGTGTAGATTTCTCAGAGCCGTTGACCAGGGCCAGATTCGAAGAACTCAACAACGACTTGTTCAGGAAAACCATGGGACCCGTCAAGAAGGCCATGGACGACGCCGGTTTACAAAAGAGCCAAATTGACGAAATTGTCCTCGTCGGTGGAAGTACCAGAATCCCAAAAGTCCAACAGCTTCTAAAAGATTACTTCGATGGAAAGGAACCAAACAAAGGTGTGAACCCCGATGAGGCCGTCGCTTTTGGCGCCGCCGTACAGGGAGGTATTTTGAGCGGTGAAGGTGGTGACGAAACTAAAGGTAATCCCGTAATTCAATTCTTTTCTTATTATTACGAATTATATATTAAAAATAAAATTATATTCTGACAAATAAATGTATGCTACTACTAGATATTCTTCTTTTGGACGTGGCACCTCTTACTCTCGGAATCGAAACCGTTGGGGAGTGATGACGAAATTGATCCCAAGAAACACAGTCATTCAACTAAAAAATCACAAGTCTTCACAACTTATCAAGATCAACAAACTGTTGTTTCCATTAAAGTCTACGAAGGTGAAAGAAGCATGACAAAAGATTGTAGACTTCTCGGAACATTCGATCTCTCTGGAATCCCACCGGCTCCAAGGTTAGTGACCTGTTTGTCAATATTTTTGTTTTTCAGGGGCTAAACTTAAACTTAAACTTAAAAACTAAACATAATTGATTGTATTTTCAGGGGAACACCACAAATTGAAGTGACATTTGAAGTGGACGCGAATGGTATATTGAACGTGAAGGCAGAGGACAAGGCTTCTGGTAAATCAGAGAAGATAACAATTACAAATGAGAAAGGGAGATTGAGTCAGGAGGAGATTGAACGAATGGTTAGGGAGGCAGAGGAGTTTGCTGAAGAAGACAAAAAGGTGAAGGAAAAGATTGATGCCAGAAATGCCCTTGAGACTTATGTCTACAATATGAAGAATCAAATTGGTGATAAGGATAAATTGGCTGATAAGCTTGAGAGTGATGAGAAGGAGAAGATTGAGTCGGCAACAAAGGAGGCGCTTGAGTGGTTGGATGAGAATCAGTCGGCTGAGAAGGAGGAGTATGATGAGAAGTTGAAGGAAGTTGAGGCTGTTTGTAATCCTATTATTACAGCTGTTTATCAGAGGTCTGGTGGGGCTCCAGGTGGTGGAGCTGAGTCAACGGAAGATGATGATGAACACGATGAACTTTAGGTTATTTTTGGGGGGTGAGAGAAGATAGAGGAGATGAGAGAAGATAGGGTTTGTAGTATAATTTTGGATTATTACTTGAACTTGAAAGTTGAGGTTTTATTATGCTCACTTTGGTTTATTTTTAGTCTAAGTGAAGTGAAACTCTTGAATTTGTGTATCATTTAATGTTTAAACGACTTTCCTACATCTTTATTGCTATTTCCTACATCTTTATTGGTAAAAGACAGGGTTGTTTAACCAACCATTCAAAGACAGTCTTAAGGCTTTATGCTGACAAATTCAGATGTGATCTCTAAATGGTCCTATTTAAAGGTTACCAAACAACCAAGTGTAAAATACGAATGTGGGGATTAATGTACTCAAATCATGATTTGTGAAGTTCTATATAAGAGTTTGGAGCCATGAAAGTACTAGATGTTTGTATAAAACAGTCTAGATACATAATGGTAGCCCGTTAGATCTAGATGATCCTAACTATATATTGAGTGAGAAGAGACAAGGAAGGACAAACTTGTCATTTGCTCTCTTTTGACATGATTTAAAGGAAAAAGGAAAAAGAAGAGAAAAGCATGGGAAAAAAATGTAAGTGAAAGTAAGTTTCTAATTCAATCACATGTCATACCTTTAGTCCCTAATCTATGCTCTATGTTTCATAAGATATCCCATTTTAAATCCTTTTATCTTTTCATACTTGCAGAAATAACACAATAGCCCTATGATTTTTCCCAATTATATTTGACCCATTTATACATCCCAACTTAATTTAAGTTTTTTTTGACATTTAACACCCCTTAAATACTAAATATGTTTAATAAACGGCTTGATCCGGCCCGAAAATCTATAACCGATTTGACCAACCCGAAAAACTATAATTGATTTGACCGACCCAAAATTTATTTGATAAATATTTTGTGACCCAAATGTATGTAAATTATGGATCCGCCACTTTTTGTATTCTTCCTAACTCTATCTTTGTGTGTTGGTCTTCTTGTGTAGTTCCTCCTAGCTCATCATTGGGGTTAGCGTGAGCTGGCAACAACATAAAATATAAAAGAACTGGTGTTGGGGAATTGTGGGGGTTGGAGGGTATTTCATAGCCTTTTTAAAAAAAAAACCGAAAATAGCAACAAACTTTACAATGCTTTTACATATAGTGGCTCTAATTTTTTCCATATTGGTATAAGAAAAATGTAATGTTAAATGTTTGGTAATTTTACAAAGAATCAAATTACAATGCTCTATATGCTAAACCTGATATTTCTAAAAATGCAATGCTATATGTTGGTAGATTTTCACAAAAAATAAATAAATAAAACTGAATGCGTACACGAACCTAAACCCAAACTTGTAATCTTTCTTCCCATTGTAAGACTGCATAACACAATCAACAAAATAAATTACTTCATGTGTTAAAATAAGGTTGAGAAAAGGTATTTAAGACATTTCATTAGCAATCACCTGACTTAATACACAGATACATATTCATTTGAATCGATATATCAGTTGCTACAGAAACATACGGAAAATAAGACAAAAATCACAACTTTTATCAATGTAGCTAACAGCAACCATTCCAATACTCACATCATTTCAAAGCTTGTAATTTAGTTATATCATTTCAAACCTTGTAATTTAATTATAGAGAATATAATGAGTGATTTATGAGTGACTTCTCTCCATAGGTACTCCATGATCTAGCAAATTCTAAAATAATGTATTTAAAATGACAAAAGAAAAATATCCACTCCCATTTACCACATAAAATGGTTTGTGTGTGTTTGAGAGATAAAGTACAAATATGTACTCAATTGCAAATCTTCAATTGTTACACCCCTGTTCTGTGACTGAGCATCTTGCCTCTTCACAATATATTCTGCCCAAACACCTTGTGACTAACGTGTTTCTGTAATTTACAGTAGACAGACGTGAATGAAAATTTTTGAAGTTTAGGGAATACATAAATATACACATACCATCAATAGTCCAACCACAACTATAAGGAGCATTTGAAAGCATTGATGTCAACTATAAGTCATTTTTTATTCAAGAAAATGGATTTTGGCCACAATTAGAAACACAGATGTCAGCCTTTAAATCTTTAAGAAAGGTCATGGAGTATACCTAAGTTGAGATTTTGCTTCTTTCCAACTGAAAACACCAACCACACACATTTAGTAGCAGAATTCAATTATAACATCATTTTAGAAACATATTTGTAAAGAAAAAAAAGTCCTCTGTTAATTTATAGAAAGGGAGACAAAATAAAATTGTATACCTTACCACACTTCTTTCTTAAGCTATGTCGCACCCAATCGAAGCCAAAGATTACTGGAATGAATCAAGGTTCTAGATTCCTTAACAGTTGTTTCGATTTTTGGATACCATTGGACAAAAAAAACCCTACGATTCAATTCAACTGAAACGTTTGATTTCATCCTGGAAGATTGAAACAGAAACGACAAGTTGATGTTGATTCGCTGGCAACTTCTTCTTCTGGTTATCCTACAAAGCATGAAATCATATTCGAACACAAATCAGCAACAATTTGTGTATCAAAATGAGAAAAAAAACACATACAACTGAAATAACGAAAATGAAAACAGAGTGGATGGGTGTCAAGAAATATGAACCCAGTCCAGATTTGAGATGACGGGGTTGAATGAGTAAATGGAAGAACTTTTTCCCCCCAAATTGGATTGTCTGATCAGGCTTTGTTTGGAGCATCATTGACTGGTGGAGAAGGGACGATGGTTAACTGAGAAAGAGAAATCAGTGTGAAGCAAGAGAAATCAGCGTAGCAGATGGAGCCGGAGTCGAGAAAGCGGACACCGTCATAGCTCCGGTAAAGGGCGATAACGATTTTTCTTCCAAACCTAAACGGGCCGATGAAGACGAACAGTCAATCCCAAATTATCTCATAAAGAAAGTGGTGGAATATGAAGCAGGAGGTAAATGAAAGAGTAGAAGGCGATATACAGTCGGTGCCATTAAACCATCGTCGATGGAATAACGTGTGATGGCAATACAAAAGCAACAGAGAAAGGACACAGAGAAGGACACGTAGATGGTAAGGCCTCACTTATCTACACGTGTAATCCATTGTAGAATAAAAAATGGATAAATAAAATAAAACATAGCAAAAAAGGAAAAAAAAAATTCTAGCCAATGAAATAAATGTACCGTTCCCTAAGGGATTGTAAATTAATCTATATATAATTAATATCAATTAAATTGAACAAATGATATGTCAAGACTCAAGATCATGTTGTTCATTTTGGAATCGAAGAAGGGAGGAGATTAATACTTGTGAATATTTTATATTAGGGGTGGGAATCAGTTTGATTTATGGTTTCTTTGGTTTGAAATTTTTTTGGTCCAATTCGAAAACCGAACCAAATCGAATTCAAATTCTCCAGACCAAACCAAAAACCGAATTCTAATTCGGTTTGGTTCGGTTTTAAAACCGAGGGAACCAAGTATTACCTTAAATAATTTAATGTTGCAATTTTCCAAACACAAATTACAATACTTTTAACATAGAAACCTAAAATTGCCAACAAAAAGATTAAAGTTTCATACAAAAAGATATAAAGTTTCATACATAAAATGATAAAAATGGTACTGGTACTAGCTAGAAACAAAAAGTTTTAACTTCCAAGTTCTAATTTCCAAACAAAAGTATAAAACATGAAGTTCAAAAGTTTTTCCTAGTGGCTTGTGAATGTTTGATCTCATTTATATATCAAGAATAGTTGATTTCGCCGACGATTCCCGCAAGTCTACAATAAAACATTTTAAAATCAATACATAACATAATTGCAATAAACATAAAAAAAACTCAATACCAACTTACCTTCTTCAAACTTATCAAGATCTTCAATGTTTTCTTCCACATTGACTTCAACTTCACTTGAGCGGATCCAATCTTGACAACATATTAACGCTTGCATAATTTTTGGAGTTAAAGAACTCCTAAATGAATCTAGTACCCTTCCTCAGGTACTAAAACTGGATTCAGATGCCACTGTTGAGACCGGAATAGTTACACATCACGAGCAACAAGTGATAAGATAGGAAACAAACCACACCTATTTTTCCACCAACCCAAAACTGTGAAATTGCTACTCTGAAAATATTCATCGTCTTCTTTAATATCCTCTGTCAAGTATTTTTCTAGCTTAGACTTAGAATCGTTTCCCACACTGGATTTTGCTTTCCTCCTTTTCACATCGGCTAACATTTTCTATCGAAGTGATCTAATGGCATTAGCACTATTAACAAACAAACCCACATCATGAGAACTTTGAGTACCAGAGCTTGATGAATGAGAAGGCTGAGATGATGAACTTTTACGTGTTGATCCGAATGAATCCACAACAGATATCATCAGAAATCGGAACTGTACAATGAAAGCACTAGAAAAAGAAAAAACACATCGACTATGGAATCGAAAACTAAAACTAATAGAAAAAGAAAAAAAAACCTGAAGTCTAGTATGGAATCGGAACTGCATAAATAAAGTTTTCCTTGTTTACAATAAAAGAAATTGAAAACTAACAGAAAGAACTTCAGGTTAAAGAGAATTACGGTATTACCTGTGATTTCTTGGTTATAGTCGAGTATGGAACTATCGATTGTAGGTGGTGCTGCACAGTTGTTGGAGTGGCGAATTCGAGGTGGTGTTGTTGTTGGACTATCGATAGTGTCGTCGATTGTAAACTTCCGGTTCCAACATTCTTAGAGAGACCAAGTGTCATCATCGATTACGATTTACATGAGTCGTGAGGATGAAGCTTGAGTGAACGATCGGGAATGACAATTGAGGAATCAAGTTTTAACGATTTGAATTTCGTGAGGGTTGCCTTGAAGCCTTGAACCGATCAATTTTAAGCCTACGTAAAATAGTAAATGGGCTAAAATAATTTTTACTTTATAATTAATATTTTTATTTAATATATAAATATATAATATATATTTAAATTAATTAATTTATGAAATTCGGTTTTTCGGTTTGGTTTGGTTTAAACTTCATGAGATCGAAACTTGAACCAAAAACCAAATTCACAATTCGGTTTACCAAAAACCGAATTTGAATATGGTTTGGTCTGAAACTGTAACGCCCGTGTTTCTAGGCTAGGCATTAATGATGATGTAATAGTCTAGATTAACCTTTGTAACTCGTCTTGATATAATAAAGATGTATTATTTGAGTATTATGTGTTTTGTGCTTAATTGTGTGACTTAAATGAATTAAGGATAAAAATAAGCGTCAAAATGAAATGTTAGATAAACCCGATATTGATACATGAAGGCGTAGTGGCCGTGACGAGGTTTTGCGAATATATAAAGAATGCCGAAATCCGAGTTATAACGAAGGAGTTATGACATGTCGAAGTTTCGCGACAGAACCGGCATGACGCCGAATGACGTAAAATATGAATTTAAGATAGAGCGATATTTAGCCTTAGTGATCTAAACGAAAGTAGTAGAATACTTTAAACTGAGAGCGTGCATGAAAAGAACGTCTAAATCTGACTTCGTATGAGGAAGTTATGATTTTTCGAAGTTTCGACTTAGCAGTATGCAGCCCGAAGTTCGATTTTGAGATCGAGTGATTTCTAGCCGAAACAATCTAAACGAGAATCGAAGATCTCGTCGATAGTAGTCCAACGGTAAAAAGACAGACAAAAACGGACGTCAGATGAAGAAGTTATGATGTTATAACAGAGTTTTCCTATCCCGGCCTACTAAAAATAATATAATAAAAATAAAGTCAAAATTAGCCGACGAAGTCTAAACGAGAGTTGTAGAGTATAATCTCACCTATGCGTCGATATAAAGAACGTCGAAAACGGAGCTCGTATGCGAAAGATATGAATTTCTGAAGTTCGGGGCGCGAACCCCAAAGTTGTGTCAGGGTTCACGACGTGAACAGAGGGTTCACGACGTGAACTCAGTGATTTGACCTTTCAGAGCCTGCCAGACGCAACTTGTGATGACGCATGCAATGACGATCAAGCCCACGACGTGAATTTCTTGAAAACAGCCCTATAAATAGAGTTGAAGGGGCAGCCGGCCAAGGTTGCTAATTCACTCATCTCTCTCCCGTATTACATCGTTTTACATGCAATTTATACCCCCGAAGCCCCGGTATCATTCCCGAGACCCGAAGCAAGTCCCGAAGCCCCGAGGATCCTGAGAAGTAAAGTTTCTGAGCCGAAACTCTGCCCGCGAGAAGCCCGGTTTTCAAGAAAGCATCCCGGTTTCACCGAAGAATACTACTCTTAGAGCCGTAGTGCTGTCTGATCATCTTCTGATCAAGTGAGTGTATATTCGTTTTCTTCTAACACATAGATATGAAGTATTCTTTATAAAATACGTGCTATGTGTTTATATATTATTTGTTTATTTGAACTAGTTGTTGAATGGATGTTTTGTACAGGTTTTAAGCTGTATATAAATGTATATATTTTAGACAAAACTTCAAAAATGGTCCCTGTGGTTTTAGAAAATAACAAGTTTAATCCCTAAGTTCAAAAAACCTCACAGATGGTCCCTGTGGTTTCAAAACTTTTAACATTTGGTCCTTCCGGCTCACTCCGTTAGCATTTCACCGTTAAGTAAGGGGCATTTTTGTCATTTCACTACCAGGGACCATTTATGAGGTTTTCTATTACTTTTTAAAAAAAAATAATAAATGAATAAAATTTAATATGCAAAGAGTCACACCCTCTCTCTCTCTCTCTCTCTCTCTCTCTCTCCTGTTGCAGAGCACACCAAAATGAAGTAATCAATCAACATGGACCCACAAATGTCGCTATCTTTTACTTTCCTTTTCTTCTTCTTCCCCCTCTCCCAATTTAAATTCATCTTCTCTCCGCATATCTTTTCAGATGCTAAAATCACTGTTTCGGGAATTGGATGACAGTGTCATTCATCAGGGTTTTGTTTTTTTGTTTTTTAGGGTTTCTCAGAATTAAATTGCAGGGTCTCGTGGTTATGATCGGAGGTAACCTGGACATCAGAATTAAATTAACAAGGTTGGCGATGGCTTACCAACAACAACAGATACAACGATGGTGGTAGAAAACGGTGATGGTGGTAGCGGTTGAAGATGGTGGTGGGTTACGATGGCAATGGTGACCTAGCTGCTTCGTTTCTGTTGGCTGGTGTTCGACAAGGGTCCATGGGGAAGCAGGAGTGACGATGACATTTAATGGTGGTGGGTTATGACAGGAGGAGGCGGAGGGACTGCCGTCATCGATTTTGGTGGTCATCCTCACCAGTGAAGTGAGAAATGGGGGAGAGTGACGAGGGGAGGTGGTCTTGGGTGGTGAATGGAAGCCTTCTTCGGTCAATGGCAAAAGATGGAGAACCACGGTGGTTCTCGGTAGTTACAAAACACCAACACCACCCTTGATGGTGGTATTTCTCGGTAGTGCAAGAAGAGGGTTGTAGATGGTGGAAGAAAGAGCTCCGGCAGCAGCAGTAGGGTAGGGATGTTGGTTTCCAGTAGGGAAGAAGGTGGTGGCAGTGGTGGTGCTATGGTGGAGTAATGGTTGTTAAAGGTGGATAAAATGGGAGGAGGGTAAAGGAGGTGTTATAGATCGTGTGTGTGTGTCTGTATGAGAGAGAGAGAGAGAAAGAGAGAGAGAGAGAGAGAGAGAGAGAGAGGGTGGGACCCTTTGCATATTAAATTTTATTTATTTATTATTATTATTTTTTTAAAAAGTAATAGAAAACCTCATAAATGGTCCCTGGGTAGTAAAATGACAAAAATGCCCCTTACTTAACGGTGAAATGCTAACGGAGTGAGGCGGAAGGACCAAATGTTAAAAGTTTTGAAACCACATGGACCATCTGTGAGGTTTTTTGAACTTAGGGATTAAACTTGATATTTTCGAAGACCACAGGGACCATTTTTGAAGTTTTTGTCTATATTTTATCTACTAATATGTTGGGTAGAACATGGGTAGACAGTTGGTGTGTGATGAAATAAAATGATGAGAGGCCTCGATG